GTGGTTTTGAACTCTATATCCAGTAGTTTGCTTTCCTCCATTTCTGTCATTTGTGACCTGTTTCTTTGTCTCTGCATTTTGGCTGCTTCCCTGTGTTGATAGAGTGGCTTTGTGTGCTAGGTGTCCTATAGGGCCCAGTGGCTCAGGCTTCCTAATTACCTGTGGTGGACACTCTTGGTGCACCCCTTTGTGGGCTGTGTGCACAGTCTTGTTGTAATTAAGCCTTGATTGCTGTTGGTATCACTGGAAGGAGTTGACCTCCAGTCAATTGGCTGTGAGAACTAGTTGTGTCTACAATGGGAGAACTGCTGTGCTGGAGACACCCTTATGGGGTAGGACTTGCTTCACTGGGGCTTTGGCGCTCACTGAGTCTGCCCCCCTGAGTGTGTCCCTTATGGATCTGAGGAGTTGTAATCTGGATGGTCCCACTCTGACCACTGGATACACTGGCTCTTGGATCTCCAAAGAGGTGCAAAGTCAGCTACTGCCTGAGGCTACCCAGCAAGAGCTACGAAGAGATCTGCAGATTCCTCCTCTTTGTTTGGGGTTTGGAGGTGCTCAGATGAGGTGCAACTGTGAAGCAATGCAGGCTGCCTTCTTTTGGAAGCTCTAGGGCTCTCTGACCCAGCTGCAATTTGTTAGGTTTTAGATTGCAAAAGGCCAGGCCATTCATATGCAAAAACCTCTGCGCACAGCTTGGGTGGGTTTTAAATTTGGTGGACGGGGTCTCTGGGAATCACCACGGCGGAGCAGACAGCAATGGCTGCCAGTCAGCCCTGTCCCGGAGAGGTCCCGGGGTCTCTGTGTCCCGGGGCCCCGTGCAGGAACAGTGATCGACTGCAAGCACCTCTGTGAGAAAGCCGCCCTCACATTCCGGTGGATGCCAGATAGTCCATTTTCTCCTGGTGTGAGTCTGGGTCCCCCGAGTCTCGCCCGGAACTGGAGTTCATTGCAGTTGGGAGCTTGTATCTCCCTCCCGATTGAAAAGGACAACAGCGTACCCAGTTGCCAGCCCATTTCTGCGCCCACCTCCGTACCTCCGCCCTTCTGCACCTCAGCACCTCCTCCCAGTCTCAGTGCGCTTTTCTCTTTCCTTCTAGTTGTATAACTTCCACTCAGCCAGTCTTCCCGTGGTTCTGGATGATATCTGTTTTCTCTTTTAGTTGTAGTTTTGATATAGTTGTGCGAGGCAGCAAGTTTAGGTGTTTACCTATGCCGCCATCTTGGTTGTTCTGGTGTTTCAGATTTCTTAGAATATATTCCTAGAAGTGGGATCACTGGGTGAATTGGCAGTTCCATATTTAATTTTTTTAGGAAACTCCATACTGTTTTCCATAATGGCTGCACCAGTCTGCATTTCCACTAGCAGTGCACTAGGGTTCCCTTTTCTCCACATCCTCACCAACACTTGTTATTTATTGATTTGTTCATGGTAACCATTCTGACAGGTGTGAGGTGCTACCTCATTGTTGTTTTAATTTGCATCTCTGATGATCAGTGACTTTGAGCATTTTTTCATATGGCTCTTGGCCATCTGTATGTCCCATTTGGAGAAGTATCTATTTAGGTCCTTTGCCCATTTTTTAATTGGATTGTTTGTCTTCCTTTTGTTAAGTTGTATGAGTTCCTTTTATATTTTGGATATTAACACTTTATCAGATGTATCATTGCCAAATATGTTCTCCCATACAGTGGGCTCACACACACATAAGTTGCTTTCTGAATTATTTAAGAATAAATTACAGACATGGTGTCCCTTTGTTTCTACATATTTCAGGGTGTAGTTCCTAAAAAACAGGGCTCATATATAATCACAGTGCATTTATCAAAATCAGTAACAATATTAAAAAATACTGCTGTCTAACCTACAGATTTTATTCAGATTTCATCATTTATATCAGTTATGTCCTTTATAGGAAAAGGAAATACAAATTCATGCATTTTCCATTCAGGTATCATATCTCTTTAGCCTGATATAACCTGGAATAGTTTATTTATATTTTATGACAGTCCAGTTATTTATTGATTTCAGAGAGGGAGGGAGAGAGAGATAGAAACATCAATGATGATAATCATTGATTGGCTGCCTCTGCACGCCCCACACTGAGGGTCGAGCCCACAACCCGAGCGTGTGCCCTGACCAGAAATTGAACCGTGACCTCCTGTTCCATAGGTCCACGCTCAACCACTGAGCCATGCCGGCTGAGCAACAGGCCAGTTATTTTATAAAATTTCCCTTAATTTGAGCTTGGTATTTCCTCAATGTTTAGGTCAATACATTATTTCGTGTGTTTTGTTTGTTTTTTGTTTTGTTTTTTAATCCTCACCAGAGGATATTTTTCCATTGATTTTTAGAGAGAAATTGTAAGGGAGAGAGGGATGGGAGGGTCGAGGAAGGGGAGGGCCGGGGAAGGGAGGGGAAGGGAGGGGAAGGGAGGGGAGGGGAGGGGAGAAGGAGGGAAGGGAGGGAGGGAGGGAGGGAGGGAGGGAGGAAGATGTGAAAGACACACATTAACTGGTTGCCTCCAACCAAAGTACATGCCCTTGACCTGGAATCTAACCCGAGACCCGAGACCCTTCAGTCCGAGGGCTGATGCTCTAACTACTGAGCACCTGGCCAGGGCAGTTTATACATTCTTGATAGGAATACCCCAGGAGTGATGCTGCATTCTTTTCAGTACATCAGGAGAGACATGCTGTCAAATAGTCACACTTCTGGCCTTGTGAACAGTGGTGACTTAGTTAAGAAGGTGGCTGGACTCCCATTGTAAGGTTGCTAGTTGGTGGCTCTTTTCTGTATGTCACATATTTTATATGTGTGTAGATCTAGAAATGTGTTACTAAGATGCAAATTTTCTTTTATTAAATACTTTATCTGAAAATCCATTGCTGTCCATTTTCCTAACCTCTGTGTTACTAGGCTGCTTGCCATACTTAAGTGCATCTCTCCTCCCCACCCCAGGCATGCCAAAAGAACAGAGAGAAGGGCTCCAGGAAGAACTGATCGACATCATCCTCCTCGTCTTGGAGCGCAACCCTCAGCTGCATTACTACCAGGGCTACCATGACATTGTGGTCACATTTCTGCTGGTGGTAGGAGAGAGTCTGGCAACATCCCTGGTAGAAAAAGTATCTACCCACCACCTCAGGTACCAGCACAGAGGGATATACGCGACTGGGCACCACTTCCCAAACTCCTCAGCCCATTTTCTAATCAGTGTTTTCAATGGTTTTAGCTCCATTTCATTCTCACCCTTATCTAAGTGTTTGGTCTGGTCATACTCATTGAATTGTCTCCCTCTAGGGATTTCATGGACCCAACAATGGACAACACCAAACATATATTAAACTATCTAATGCCCATCATTGACCAGGTGAATCCAGAACTCCATGACTTCATGCAGAGGTATATATGTGTCTATATTCATGGGTACACATACACACACACCCCTTCAACTTTTCTCTAGCCTTTATTTCTTCCTCACAAGTCTAGCTCATCATTATCTTACTAGAGGCCCGGTGCACAGATTCGTGCATCGATGGGGTCCCTCAGCCTGGCCTACGCCCTCTCACAATCTAGGACCCCTCAGGGGATGTCAGACTGCTGGTTTTGGCCCTGCAGGGATCAGGCAGTTCAACATCCCCCAAGGGATAGAGTAGTGTACAAAGCCGCAGGCGGCCAGGGAGGAGCTCAGGCCCAGGCCGGGCGCCATGCCACACCCGCTCATCCCAGCCCCGCTGTGCCTGCCACCGCCACCATCACAGCTGCGCTTACCAGCCCTGAGCCTAGTATCTGGTGCCCGTCGGCCAGCTGAGCGGCACTCCCACTGTGGGAACACACTGACTACCAAGGGGCAGCTCCTGTGTTGAGCGTCTGCCCCCCGGTGGTCAGTGCACATCATAGTAACTGGTCGATCAGATAGATAGATAGATAGATAGATAGATAGATAGATAGATAGATAGATAGATAGATAGATAGATAGAGATAGATTAGATAGATAGATAGATATAGATACTGATTTTCTGAGTTTTCTTTTCTTTTGTTTAAAATATATTTTTATTGATTTCAGAGAGGAAGGGAGAGGGAGAAAGATAGAAACATCAATGATGAGAGAGAATCATTAATTATTCGCTGCCCCACACTGGGGATTGAGCCCGCATCCCGGGCATGTGCCCTGACAAGGAATCGAACGATAACCTCCTGGTTCATAGGCCGACACTCAGCCACTGAACCACGCTGGCCGGGCCTGAATTATTCTTTCTAGTTAACCAGCAAGCTGTATAATTCAGTTCTGTACACAGTCTTAGAGCACATTTGGGTGCCTGCTCTTTTGGGGATACAAGAGATGTGACAGCTCATTCCCTTGAGGAGTTTACATCTAGAGGGAGTAGGTGGACAAGTTAAGTATGCCAAGGTAGACTTTGAGGTTATTGCCACAAGAGTAGTACAGAGTCCTGTAGGATCCAGAGGTAAGAAAGACAAGGCCATCTGTGGGTGGTAATATTTACCAAGTACCAAGGAGAAGAAGTATTTCTTGCAAATTTCATATGATTTTTATTTCTCTTCTGTTTAGTTGGAAATTTGTCCTTGGCCAATGCCTGACTTTTTTTAAAAATTTTTATTGATTGATTTTTAGAAAGAGAGAAAGGGAGAGAAACATCGCTTTGTTGTTCCACTTATTTATGCATTCATTGGTTGATTTTTGTATGTGTCATGACTGGGGATCGAACCTGCAGCCTCGGTGTATCGAGACAACGCTCTAACCGACTGAGCAACCCGGCCGGGACCTTTTTTTTTCAAAAAAGAGCTATGTCTTAATATGTTTCAGTCACCTCATGTTAACTAAAAAATTAATAGAGTTGTTTTCAAGCCTGAGAATATGTACCTGTGCCCCCCAAAAGAGCATGACTTTTTCAGAAGGAAAATTATGGTATAGTTTCCTGTAAATAGGTACTTTTTGTCCCTGTAGTAGACATTTGTTGGTCATTAGAGCAACTAGTGAAATAAGGCAATCAGGAACCTATTGTAGTGTTAATATCATGATGAGGGGTACAATTTAAAGACTTTGTGTTTTTTTGAGGAGAAAATGCTGAATTCCTAGGTGGCTGAATTTCCCATAAAGTACATTTCCCAGATGCTTCCTTCTCATCGCACTGGGGACAAAGAGGGCCCAGAAAAAGGGAAGGGATGACTCAGCAGGGAACCTAACATCTGGATTTCCTTGTTTCTAGTGCTGAGGTTGGGACCATCTTTGCCCTCAGCTGGCTCATCACCTGGTTTGGGCACGTCCTGTCTGACTTCAGACACGTGGTGCGGTTATACGACTTCTTCCTGGCCTGCCACCCCCTGATGCCCATTTACTTTGCAGCTGTGGTAGGTACAGGCCATAAGCCAGCAGCTAGGTTCACATCACCCATCCCAGCTTGATCATTTTGCCTAAAGGGAAACCTGGTGGTTATGGAAAGATGCAGAAGACAGCATTTCCCAGGCTGGTGTGCCTGGACACCATTTTGTACGATGGGAATGGGAATGTCATGGGGAAAAAATTTCTGTGTAACACTAAGGTTGGGAAATGTTGATTAAATGAAGATAAACAGATTTGTTTATTACAAGACTAGAGGCCCGATGCACGAAATTTGTGCAAAGAGCTCGGCCCTCACAGCCCCGGCTGCCTCGGCCAGCCCTTGCAGCCCCAGCTTCATCCGGAAGGTCGTTTGGCTGTTTGGTCTAATTAGCATATTAGCTCTTTATTATATAGGATTCTTCTGAACATTTAAAGTGCTCCCCCACACTTTAATTCTATGTTCTTGTTGTCATCTTCTGGAATGAGTGCAAATTGCCAACTTTGGGTTTAAGAAAAGACGGGGTGTGGTATTATGATAGAAAATTGAGATGCTTTGGGAGTGCTCCAGTTATGAGAGGGCCTGAATCATTGGGGTGGTGTGGGGTGGGGGGTGGGGGTGAAGGTGTGGGCTCACAGGCACTCTTCATTGTTCTTTAATGAGAGCAAGACCATTCTTTCTACTGTTTGAACCATTATTTTCTGTGCTGGCGCTCCAGGAATCTTCCAGGAATCCCTCTCTTCTTCCTCCTAAAAGAATCTCCTTCATTTAAAGGTCAGTCTTTCACATGATAGGGTAGAAGTTTGCCTCCAACAGGAAGACCCAGCCCAGTAGGAAAAGCACTCAGATATGTACATTATATGTCCTAGATGGATACAAGAGTTTGCCGAACATTTGGTGTGAGCCCTGTCACCAGTTTAAATTCATCTCTAAGGAGAATGAAATGCACATAGCCAAGACCTTGTATGTCTGGTCACTGATGGAAGGCCTTGCTCTCCACAGATCGTGTTGTATCGAGAAGAGGAAGTCCTGGATTGTGACTGTGACATGGCCTCGGTTCACCACCTGTTGTCCCAGATCCCTCAGGACCTGCCCTATGAGATGCTGATCAGTAGAGCCGGAGACCTTTTTGTTCAGTTTCCCCCATCTAGACTTGCTTGGGAAGCAGCTGCCCAACAGGAAGCCAACAAGTGAGTGGACCCAAGCCACTGGTTGGGGGTGGGAGGTGTTTGTTAGTGAGCAGAAGTGATGGAAGATGGTGTCTGGTCTGGACAGGGCTGGGGGATGTTTCCAGAGTTCTAAGCTTGTGCCAGCAGAATCCCTACTTCAGTCTTGATGGGTCTTTATCAAAAAGAGTTTCTGAGCAGTGGACGGCTCTGCCCTCAGCCTATGTAATCTAGTTTTTCTTTCCTTCCTTCTCTATTTCTTTCATATTATTCCTTTTTCCTGTCTCCTTTTCTCCAGAACGGCAGCCTCTACCTTCAAAGACTTTGAGCTGGCATCCACCCAGCAGAGGCCTGACATGGTCCTGCGGCAGCGCTTTCGGGGACTGCGGACTGAGAATCGAGCAAAGGACGTCCTGACCAAACCAAGGACCAACCGCCTTGTGAAACTGGCGGTGATGGGGCTGACGGTGGCACTTGGAGCAGCCGCTCTGGCTGTGGTGAAAAGTGCCCTGGAGTGGGCCCCTAAGTTCCAGCTGCAGCTGTTCCCCTAAATGCCAGAGAAGATTCTTCCTCTGGCATTACTTGAAGGTCTCGCCCTTCCATGGAAGGATGGGGAGGGGTGGGATGTCCTTTATTAAAAGGGTTTCTGTCAAGGGTTTTGTATTCCTACCACCCTTCCCTGCCACTCCATGGTTTGCCTTTGCTTCAGAGGCCAATAGCAGAATCTGTGTGACACTGGGCACTTGGGGCCTGGGCATAGAGCTCTTCTCCCTCACAGGGGCTTCTGAGTGCTCTCCACTGCCTCCTCTTGTGTTGGAGGAAGTGGGGTTTTTAGCTCCCAGCTGCCTTTGGAACCTGCTGGGCCTTGTCTCTGGGACCTTTTGGCTGCTGCCTAGTAGTAAGCTGGACCTTTGAATGCCCGCCTCACAGCTCCTCCTGTTCAGTCTGCTTTGGCCAAAGAAGTCCGACGGTAGAATGAAGGCAAGGGGGCAGAGAAGGTAGCCCAGGAATAAGACTGGCCCTTGTTAAGAGCAGCTCTATTAGCTGGTCAGAAATCGGAGAGACAGATGGGAACTAGGTTACTGGGTAACTCCTACTGCTTTTCAGCCTAGAAATCACAGTATTTTCAGACAAACAGGAAGGAATGTTAAATTGTAGGGCCCAGACATAGACTGGTTTTGCCTACCTTTTTTTTTTTTTTAATCCTCACCCGAGGATATTTTTCCATTGATTTTTAGAGAGAATGGAAGAGAGGGAAAGGCAGAGAAATATCAATGTGAGAGAAAAACATCGCTTGGTTGCCTCCTGCATGTGCCCTGACCAGGGCCCGGGCTGGGGAGCAGCCTGCAACCAAGGTACGTGTCTGATTGGAATGGAGCCCGGGACCCTCTGGTCTGCAGGCTGATGCTCTGTCTACTGAGCCAGACTAGCTAAGGCAGGGCTTTTTTATTTTTAATCCTCACTCTGAGGATATGTTCCTTGACTCTAGGGAGAGAGGAATGGAGAAAGAGTGAAACATCAATGTGAGAGAAACATCAATAGGTTGCCTCCCTCACTCGCCTTGACTGGGGATCAAACCCGCAACCTAGGTGTGTGCTCTGACCGGGAATCGAATCTGTAACCCCTTTGGTGCACGGGATGGTGCTCCAACCAACTGAACCACCCAGCCTGACTTTTTTTTTTTTTTTTTTTTTTTTTTTTTTTTTTGCTACCTATTCTCTTCCACAAGCCACACAAAGTTGCTTTAAAAAAGATACTTTTATTACTATTTTTAGAATTATGTAATACCCAATATATAAAGCAGCCTCGCTTTAAAAATAATAGTTCCTTCATGGAAGAAAATAGTTCCCATCGGAAGGATGAGCTTCAAAGACCGTGAGGGTCCCTTTTTACCTAGTTGTTTAACGTTTCACATTAGGCAGAGCTGCTGTTCGGAAACTGCCCCACACTCCCTAAGTGCCCTCCTTGTGTCTCCCTTTCCTGTTTCCCTCAGATCACCTGTCTAGTCCAACAGGCACCCACTCACTACCGTGGCTTCGTTTTTGGGGTTTGACTTATCTCCTTCACTGCGGTCTCTCCTTCCTGGTTGGAAATGTCAGTGGAGACGTTCAGCACCCAGAAAGGGACAGGCTGCAGCCTGAAGGGCGGCAGGAGCTGGAACAGGCCGCTCCTCACTGCGGCCTGAGGGAGCAGCCCTGGGACAGCTTTTCCTGTGAGCCACGCCAGCTGTTTTAGACAAGCTCCGGCTTGGAAAAAAGTGCCTTTTGCTTTAGAGAATCGGGGTGTATAGTATGAAGCAGCCATGCACTTGTACTTTCATGGTCTCTCCAGCACTGTTCCGTCTTGACAAGTGTTTTAATGTGAACATGCCAGAAGCACTCTAGCCACTCTGCTCAGACCTCCCTTCCTTCCCATGTGCCCCTGTGTGCAGAGTGGAGGGCATGCAGCGTGCCAGGCAGCTGGCAAGCCCAGAGACATTAGGAGAGGCGTCTAGACTAAGGTACGCTCAGCACTTTAGAACCAAAAAAGCTCAGTGATGAGTCATTCTCCATAGCAGGAGTCCCACCTGGGGTGAGTGTGGTGTGGATGGATTAATCCAGAAAGTGGAAGATACGTCAAGACAAAGGAAATGCTTTCAGGATCCAGAGGTGATGACGTGACAGATACTCCCAGTCTTCTCCCTCAGCAAGTTTGTCCTCTTGTTACAAATGGACAGCAGCAGCAGCACCTCCTGCCACAGCCCTCGGGCCTGTCTATAATACTGAAGGAATCGATGGGGAGAGGGAAGGAGGTGCACACAATCAGGGTCCCACGGCCACAGCTTTTTGGAACCCAGGAAGCAAGTGGCATTTGCTTCAGTTGTGGCCTAAGAAGGAACAAGTTCATTTGTGTGATAAGCTTTGCTGACATCAGGATTCACCTTGTCAATGAGAAGAAACCATTATCTTTTTACCTTCAGGTGGTTTACTATTCTGTAAAGAATATCTGTAAATACTTTGTACAGAGCCATGTATGAAATACACAGCCATATGTGGTTACTAATCTCTCTGTCATTCTGTCCTGTCTGCCACTTGGTAGGAGTAGACTCTGGTCTTAGACAAATGGCTTGATGCTCCCCGCCTTCCACCCCGGCCGGGGACTGTGCTCTGGTCTCTGGACTCCTGGTCAGCCTTGAGTTGCCTGGAGAGCTGGGGTGATACCTTCAAGTCCTCTTTCTGTTTCGCCTGCAATGAGTATGACCTGCATACTCCGGCCGCGGCTAGGTGCCCCTGGTTAGTCAAGCAGCAGAAGTGGTGTGGGGTGTGAGCTGGGCATTCTTGACTGTTTTTCACATTGATCTAGGATGCCCTCATTTCCAAAGGCTGACACTCACGTTAGGAACCTAACCAGAGCCTAGTGGACATAACTTTGCCTCCACATGTAATTCCTGTCCCAGAGGAGCTGTGAGCACTTTTTCTGGCCAAGCTTTTCCAACATGACACTCCCAGCAGTTGGGTATTGGGAACCAGAGCAGTTGCCAAGTGCCTGTTGCCACCATCCTGTGGATGGGCCGATCACAGGCAAGAATCCATGTCGTCTGGGATGTTTAATGTTTCCCTGTCCCAGATGGGGGGAGGGGAGAGTGCCCAAGGCTGAACAGCATCACAGCCCCCTGACCTTGTCCCAGCACTGTAGCCAGCTGCCCATGCTGCCCCCCGATCTGACGCGGAGAATGCAGAGCTGGGACACAGGTCAGGACCCTGTGGCCTCTGGGAGCTCACACCGGAGTTGCATTGAAGGAACAGTTTGGGTGGCAGATTCACTGGCAGTTTCATGGGAATTGAGTGTAAAAAGTAGAATTTTGAAAATGGGAACATTGAAGGAAAGGTGTACGTTGTATGAGAAATATTTGTGTTTTTTCTGTTTCCCTAAAATTCTTGGAATTTCCTGATAGGAGTATCTTTTGTGCTTCATGATTCCCTTGCAGTCCCACCTGAGTTTATGCTAACGAGATGGCTCACAGTGGGACTGCTAGATGTTCTCAGAATGGGGCAGGTCCCCAAAAGGCCAAAGTGATGAGTGGGGACTTCTGGCCCCATCCCCTGGCCTTCTAGGAGGAGAGGGAAGGCTGGAGATTGAACTCCACAACCTTGATTCAGATTCTAGGAGCTGCTGGGTTGGTGAACGCATCAAAATGCTGGGAGGGTCTGCACCCTCTCCCCATACCTTCTCTATTCATTTCTTCCATTGAGCCGTTTTTGAGTTATATCCTTTATTAAAAATCGGTAAACAAGTGTTTTCCTGAGTTCTGTGAGCCCTACTAGCAAATGATTGAATCTGAGGGGGAGTGGTAGGAACCCCTGAATTTGAAGTTGGCCAGGAAGAAGTGTGGGTAGCCTGGGCACCGTTTGCGGTTGGCATCTGAAGTGGGGCAGTCTTGTGGGACTGAGCCCTATAATTTGTGGGATCTGATGTTAACCAGGTAGTGTCAGGATTGAACTGTTGGACACCCATTGGTGCTGGAGGATTGGAGAAGTGCAAGGCTGAGGGGAAAGAAGTATGAAAATAACAGCTGAGTGAAGTGTGTGGGTGTCTGTAGACAGCAGAGCCCAAGAGGACCGGAGTTTGGGGTTTGTGGATGGAGAGGGCAGTGGCAGGGGAAGGTCCTTAGGGTTCAGGTCTGGGACAACTTTGAGCTGTGGAGGAGAGTGGGACTCTAGGTCCGTGGTCGGCAAACTGCGGCTCGCATGCCACATACGGCTCTTTGGCCCTTGAGTGTGGCTCTTCCACAAAATACCACGTGCGGGCGCGCACATACAGTGCGATTGAAACTTCGTGGCCCACGCGCAGAAGTCGGTATTTTGTGGAAGAGCCACACTCAAGGGGCCAAAGAGCCGCATGTGGTTCACGAGCCACAGTTTGCCGACCATTGTTCTAGGTGATTTGGGGTGAGGATGGGCCCAAAACTGGGTCCAGAGAGAATCATTGGTAGCATCATGGCAAGTGTGTTACTTCATGGCAGTTTGAGCTGCTGCAAGTTCAACATCTGTGAGACTCATTGTCAATAACAGTAAAATAGGGATAGTCCCATCTCACATGGATGGTAATGAAATGATGTTTGGGAAAATGCTTTACAAACTGTGAGGTCATGCCAGTGTTTTGATTCCATTTTGGTGAACAGTTTAAGAATAAATGCCTTTAGCCAGCCCTGCACATGGGACCCATGCTCGTTCAGAGATTAAGTGGTGACTAAAAGGAATAGGCCAAAGGCTTTTGCCAAATCGAACCAAGAGATGATGGGCCTGCAGCTCAGCCTGACTGTCCTTTCCCTGCCCTGCTGTCCTTCGTGTTTTCTGCGGCTCTTGCTGCCTTTTTTCCTGTCTTCACAAAGGCCCTCAACTTGCTAGCAGTATTTTTCCCAGACTTGCATATGGTTGGAATTTGCCCAGGAGCCTTTGTGAGCCAGCAAGGCTGTGGGCTTGCCTCCAGCTTCCTGCGTTTGAGCGAGTGGCTTTTATGCCAGCCCAACACTAGAGGAAGACACATGCAGCTCTGACATGGGCTGTGGCACGTCCTCCACTCCCTGCCCACAGCAGCAGCAGCTCTTTATCTGAGCAGTGGGCTTCCACTCGCCTTTTCCTGTCCGGGAGACAAAGATAGTCACACAAATATA